ACTCAAAAATGTTCTATTATAAACATTATGTATCAAAATAATAACTCACCTGTCTTTTAGCTTCTCTCAGTTTTCTTTTGAGGGCTGTCAAAATTCTTTGTACTTCCCATAATCTTTCTTCTTTAGATAAATCCTTTATCCCACCCTGCAGATCTCGATGTAAACAATTCAAAAGAAACTCCTAGAAAGCAATGCCACACACTAAGTTGCATTCATATCCTCGTGTCTTAAAGTAACAACGCGTGCAAATTCTAAAGATGTAGAATCAACTATTTTTCAATTATTCTTTATTTCATTAGAGTAAAATAATGGCACTAATTATTTTTTTGAAGATATGATTGAGAAATCATTATTATTTGTTTTGCCTATGAATTAGGCACTCATTCACTAATTTCTATTGGTTCAATAATACTTAATCCACAGCCCCCATCCCCAATGTCATCATCACTAACTAATAAGAATTGGGAGTTCAGGGCAGGTACAAGGGAAGAAGAGCAAGCAGGGGTTTGATAAAGTTCATGGAAATAAATAATCATTAATGTAATTAAATTTCTTATTTAGTCTTGAATTTCTTATTTCATACACATACACACACACACACACACACATGCACACACGCACACACACACACACACAAACACATGGAATTGTTCCTTCCATCAAAATAGCATAGTAAAAAAGCCCAGCATTTGGGCTCAAATCTTGGGTCTATAATTAGTAATCATGTTACATAGGGTAAGATACATAACTTCCCTGAATTTTAAATATTCTTATCTATAAAACATGGCCAATGACAGCAACCTTGGCCAGAAAAAGCAAACACTTTTAGACTATTTACAACATGCCTGGCGTGTTTTATGTATTATCTCATTTGTAGTAATCTTTACATCAATCCTATAAAAGGGTCCATTTTAAAACGAGAATACCAATACTTAAGGTGGTTAAGAATTCACCTAAAATCAGTTAACTAGAGCAGAGCAAGAATTTAAAGCCAGGTCTTTTGATTCCAAAAACCATGCTCTTTCCACCATGGTATTCCAACTTATTTGGCATGAAATAATACTGGATGGGAATTTCTGACTTCAGTGTGCCAAACATAGCCCCAGACACACATAAAGTGCTCAGGAAACAAGAGCCCATCACCACGGGACTCCGCAACGACCAATGCAGAGGCAGGCTATATAGCAAGTGGGTGCACACACCTGTCTCCTGATCTCCTCCTTGATGCCCATCTGGGTCTCTGGCAGTGTGGGCATCGTGGCCATGTTAGACCATCGCAGAGGTTTTGTCACTTGCTTTAGTACCACATTTCCAAAGAGTTCTTGCACATGTGTGAAAAACACATATAGGACTCGATTGCTGATCTAAGAAAAAAAGATTTACAAGAAAACTATTAAAATTATTATATTTCACTTATTTGTGTCTATCACATCATGTATCTTTTAATCCTGGGCACATAAAGAAAAATCTACCCTGTACTGACAACACAGTCGTTGCTAGTTAATGGCTAATTTAAGAAGAAAATGGTAAAATATGAGTTAAATCATATATTCAAGCACCAGAAGGAACTGAAGGGAAAAAAAAGCCAAGAAAAGGACAGAGAAGCTGATGTCCATCCATTTGTTTATTTTTTCTATCACAACAATATTAACTGATTAAAACATCTTATGTTCTTTTTTTTTAAGATGGAGTCTCACTCTGTAACCCAGGCTGGAGTGCAGTGGCACAATCTCAGCTCACTGCAACCTCCACCTCACTGGTTCAAACCATTTTCCTGCCTCAGCCTCCCTTACTGGTAAGCTGGGATTACAGGTGTGTGCCACTACACCCAGCTGATTTTTTTGTATTTTTAGTAAAGACAGGGTTTCACCATGTTGGCCAGGCTGGTCTCAAACTCCTGTCCTCAAATCATCCACCCACCTCAGCCTCCCAAAGTGCTGCGATTATAGGTGTGAGCCACCGTGCCCGGCTAAAACATCTTATGTTCTTTATTTTCAACTTACTTTGAGATCTTTTAACAGACACAATGGGCTGAATGAGGACCGTGAGGGAAGTGAGAGAACCACAGTAGTAAAGCTGGTTTGAGGTTGAAAGCCCTTACGCCAGAAACAAATACCTCGACACAGCCAGCATTTAAGTATGGATGTTCATATGCTAGGAGACCAGGGCATTGGGATGGCTGAAAAGCTAATATAAGAAATTATTTCCTACCTAAAACTTACTCTTACAACACACTTGGCTCTCCTATGATACGATCATCTCTATTATATTATAGTAATATTAAGTATCAATGTAATATTTACCAGATCCTGAAATCCTAATATGAATGACCAAACTAAAATCTGAGAAACTATTGCTTTCAAAGTGTAATCAATGAATAACAGAAGAATCTTTATTTTTTAGAGATAGATTCTTGCTCTGTCACCCAGACTGGAGTACATTGGCATGATCATAGCTCACTAATGGGCTCAAGCAAGCCTACTACCTCAGCCTCCGAAGTAACTGAGACTACACGTACATGCTACCACACCCAGCTAATTTTTAATTTTTTTTGTAGAGACAGGGTCTTGCTATGTTGCCTAGGCTGAACTCCTGGCCTCTGACTATCCTCCTGCCATGGCCTCCTAAAGTGCTGGCATTACAGGTGTGAGCTACTGTGCTTGGCTAAAAGACTCTTTAGTAAATGAAAACACACTCTGAAAACAGCAACAGTGATTTATGGTGACTTAGAATACTGGCCAAAGAGCACTTAAGATAATAAATATAACCTATCATCTCCCTTTTTATTGGCCTGAGCAAAACATCATTAACTCTAATTAAAGGAAAACATATACTCTATGACAGCACGAACTGAGCAGCAACAAAGAAAGGTCAATGCATATGTTGTAAAAAGATACCAATTAACATACTACCCAATTCCCTGAAGTACCTTCTCAGATTCAGAGCCTATAACATGTCCCTCTAGGATCCATCCTTATGAATGAAATCCTCAGGCTAAATATTTGACCAAACAAACTAATTTTAGTTCCCTCTGTGCTTGAGTTTGATGTGTGTTTGTGATATAATTAAGTAATAATGCTATTTGATGAAATAACTGGCATCTCTAAAATTCTACACATGAGCTCTCTAACTGTAGATGCCATGGGCTCCTCCTCCACTAATGAACAATCCCTGTCATCAGGCCTTGTTTATAAATCCACATCAAAGACTATACCATATTCACATTACATCATTACAAGCTAAAGGGCAAGTATGTTCATTATCTTATACGTCGACACTGTCCACATTATGAAAGACAAAGACCTGTATTCAAGCTAATCCATTACCTATCTTCTCAAGTTCACTGCTTTACATGTGACTCAGCAATAGAAAATGTATCCCGATTCCCCATTGTCAGTACTAGAGGGGATGTGTGTAGAGAAGACCATGTACCTGCACAGTTGGGCTGAGCACTATAGAAATGTTCTGTATGTTCATTTTTGTTTCCAGTTCCTTTGCGATGACATGGTCCATGTGCACAATGAGCCAAGAAATCAGAAGATAGTTACATTCTGGCAGTTCTTTGAGTAAACGCTGGAATTCCTGCACTTTCTCAGTCTCCGTGGTTCTCCCACAAGCCTCTTCAAATCTGGGCATAAGCTCTTTGGTAAGCAAATTCTCTGGAAGGTCTCGCAAATACTGCTTCAGCAAACTAGCTACAGTGTTAGGCTCATATTCTTCCAAGTTTGTAGACTCCTCCCGGTCATAGGCTGCTTTTAGTTCATCCACCTTTGATTTAATTCCTTAAAACATTCAAATTCAGAAGAGAGAAGATACTGAGAAAATAAAATCAAACACACAAGCTTTCTTCACCATTACACACACCCTTGCTAGGGAGATCTGAGAACAGCAACCTGATAAGTAATCAACCTCTTGCTATGAAATATTTATCTGCACAAAGGTCATACAATTCCTCTGTAAACACCGACATGTAAGGCAACACTTGGCCAGGCTCAGTGGCTCACACCCATAACCCCAGCTCTTTGAGAGGCTGAGGCAGGTCAATCACTAAAGCCCAGGAGCTCAAGACAAGCTGGGCAACATGGTGAAAACCTGTCCCTACAAAAAATACAAAAATTAGCCGGAGATGGTGGCATGTACCTGTGGTCCCAGTTCTCTGGGAGGCTGAGTTGGGAGGACCACTTGAGCCTGGAAGGTTGAGGCTACAATGAGCCATAGTTGTGCCACTGTATTCCAGCCTGGGCGACAGAGTAAGACACTGTCTCAAAAAATAAAAAAATTAAATAACAATAGGCTGGGCGTGGTAGCTGACGCCTGTAATCCCAGCACTTTGGGAGGCCAAGGCAGGCAGATCAGTTAAGGTCAGGAGTCCAACACGAGCCCAGCCAACATGGTGAAACCCTTGTCTCTATTGAAAATGTAAAAATTAGCCAGGTATGGTGGCACATGCCTGTAGTCCAGCTACTTGGGAGGCTGAGGCAGGAGAATCACTTGAACCTGGGAGGCAGAGGTTGCAGTGAGCCAAGATCATGCCACTGTACTCCAGCCTGGTGACAGAGCAAGACTCCGTCTAAAAAAAAAACCCAAAAAACTACACTTCAAAAGTGAATTTAACCAAAAGTTAAATGAGAATTGAAAAACTCAACATTTAGAACAAAAGTCAAAGCAACCATGGATACATTAAGCAAATATGCCCATCAATTCATGAATTTTTTTTTTTTTTTTAATGTAAAAGTGATTAGGTATGGCCAGGCGCGGTGGCTCATGCCTGTAATCCCAACACTTTGGGAGGCCAAGGCAGGCAGATCACAAGGTCAGGAGTTCGAGACCAGCCTGGCCAACATGGTGAAACCTCGTCTCTACTAAAAACACAAAAATTAGCTAGGCATGGTGGCAGGCACCTGCAATCTAGCTACTCGGGAGGTTAAGGCAGGAGAATCATTTGAACCCGGGAGGCAGAGGTTGCAATGAGCTGAGATCATGCTATTGTTCTCCAGCCTGGGCAACAGAGCGAGACTCTGTCTCAAAAAAAAAAAAAAAGGTAAAAAGTCAGACAAACTACAATCCAAGTATAAGTCTTGCTCTACACAGGCAGCCAACTGCTTTTTCCAACAAGTCACAAGACTGACAACAAAAAATGCAACTTGGTGTATACAAGTATGTTCCAAAAAGTTGTGGGTAAATTACTTTTTTATGTGTAAATATTGTACTGTAATTGCAAAAGGTGAGTTAGCTACCCAAACAAACATTAAAGATTATTCTGTATTAAATAATCCACATCTAATTTCTATGTTGAAGTTTGGATTTTTTAAGTATATCTTTAATCTGAACAGAGCTGGAACAACAAAATAATGTTTGGGGTTCTAAAATCAAATTGTTTTGCTTATTGAACAAAAGGAAACTCTAACACACAAGCAAACGATTTTCAAATATTATATAAGATTTGAAGTCTTTAGTACAATCTGCATTAAGGGGCGCAATTTAGTGATAGCGATTGCTCAGAAGAACACAAAGTAGTGTTTTGTTGTTTTTAATACTTAACACTTTCATCCAATTATTTGAAACAAGCTACATATTAAGGCTGAAGGTTTCTACTGGTAAATGCTATCTAAGCTGAACAGCACTTGACAGTGAATACAGTGCTTACATCTGGACTTTGGGATTCCTCATCCTTCGTGAAAACCTTTTAATGGCATGATGATAAATCTGTAACTTATCCAGTATTGACAAAATAAAATAACAAAATACAAAATAACACTGTTAATTTATTTTTAGATAATCTTTATTTTGTGACACAAAAGTCAGAAAATAATTCCCATTTTCTTACTTTCATGATATGAGTAAACTGTAAGTGATAACTTTAACCGAAATTCTTGGCAAAGATTTATTCTCTTCCTCATGTATATTTAATTCTTCCCCTTATATTATCTACCCAACAAATTGTACAAGTAGACAATCAGAATGTGTGTTTGGTTTGCCTTACTCTGAAATTGTTATCAAAATGTTTCCTTTTAAAAATTGGACACTCCAAATAAAGCACTCCACAGAAAGAGAGAAAGTGCATACAGGTACACTTTAACGCAAAAGATACAAGAAAATGTAGATGAGTAAATTAAAATGTATAAAATCACTTAAATTGTCTTTCATATTAGTTTAAAATTGGATAATCAAGAACTAAAACTTCCAGCAAAAGGTCTTAAAATGAATTAAGTGAGAACTAACATCTTCAGCAAAAAGCAGTATTATTATTAACACTGGCCGTAACAGTAGTATAAGTCGGGCTGACTACAGCAAACTGCCCCGGGTTAGAGAATAAACCCAAAACTCATCAGAGCAGGAGCTCAGCCCCTAGCTATTGCAATGATGGGCAGCAGCTCAGTCTGAATGCTTTTACACACAGAGGAGTTGTATGACTATGAATTTCCTAAAAAAACACAGACATTAAAAGTAGGTCAGAGACAAAAAGAATCCTTTGAACAAAGCTGCAGAAAATTTTCAGAGAAACTTTTACCTAAAACAAAATTACTTCATGGCTACTAAGACCATGTGAGAAAAGCAGCTTGCGTCATTAATGTTTAAATGTTAAAAAATCAATTCAGTTAATTATTCTTAAAAATCAAATATTTGGGCCAGGCGCAGTGGCTCATGCCTGTATCCCAGCACTTTGGGAGGCTGAGGTGGGCGGATCACGAGGTCAAGAGATCGAGACCAAAAAATACAAAAATTAGCTGGGTGTGGTGACGCACACCTGTGGTCCCAGCTACTTGGGAGGCTGAGGCAGAAGAATTGCCTGAACCTGGGAAGCAGAGGTTGCAGTGAGCCGAGATCACGCCACTGCACTCCAGCCTGGCACCTGGCGGCAGAGCAAGACTCCGTCTCAAAAAAAAAAAAAAAAAAAATCAAATATTTGTTTAAATATGTTTATCGAATACTAAGGAGTTATAAACTTAAATTCAATGCCTACTTTATTTCATGTTCTATAAAACAGTAACATTTTAGCCAAAATACTCTTAATAATGGCATGTAATCTAGTGGATTATGTAACAGTTTTCCCAATTATCAAAACTATCTGCTCTTTCTCAATAAAAGTATCAAATCTACCTTCTCAAATTGTGTATGAGCCAATTAAATGAAAAAACTAAGTCTAATCTCTCCATATATTCTATATATGACTTAACAATGCCTCATGAAAATACACGTGACCAACAAGTATTATTATTTTTGAGACAAGGTGTCACCCTCGCCTTGGCTGGAGTGCAGTGGTACGATCATGGCTCACTGCAGCCTCAAAAGAACTCCTGCGCTCAAGTGATTCTCCTGCTTCGGTCAATAATTAATTTTATAAAATAAATCTCTAAACAGAAATTGATAATGTACCAAGAAACTGAATAATGGGAATTTAATAATTTGGAACACAGATGCTGCTACAGGTCAGGGCTTTCATCCTATCCCAGTATAAACATCATACTGCTTTCTAAGAAATAAGTCTTTTTACTTTTAAATAATATACATATTGCTTGATTTAGATACCCAATCAAAACACATTCTTGCCAAGTATAAAATTTAATTTGATACATATGGGATAAAAATTAATAGAAAATCAATTTTGCTAATATATGTAACAGCTGCATATAGCTGACCAAAGCATTCACATATGGGGCCTAAACATTTACTGCTTCTTGGTCTTTTGGCTAAAGTCAAGTATAGTATCTGTTCTAGGATTTCTGGAGCAGGGAGATGGAATAGAAGCTTGCTTGGACCACTCCACATATTGACCAGGTATTATGGTACCTCCAAGAACCGTGCACCAAGAAAACAAAAACAAAAACAACAAAGACCATTTCATGCCTCTTAGCTAAGGAAATATCCATAAATGTGTTTCTTGGCCAAGAAGCTTCCTTCACACAGTTAACCTTCCTTATCTTGCTAAAGACCCTCATACCACTGAGCCTCTGTTTAGAGAGGAAAGAAAAAACAAAAGCAGGCATCTGGGCATAGTGGCTGATATCAGTAATTCCAGCACTTTATGAGGCCAAGGAGGGCAGATCATCTGAGGTCAGGAGTTTGACACCAGCCTGGCTAACATGGTGAAACTCCATCTCTACTAAAAATACAAAACTCAGCTGGGCATGGTGGCAGGCATCTGTAATCCCAGTTACTCAGGAGGCTGAGGCAGGAGAATTGCTTGAACTTGGGAGGCAGAGGTTGCAGTGAGCAGAGATTGCGCCACTGCACTCCAGCTGGGCAAAAGAGCGAGACTCTGTCTCAAAAAATAAACAAAAGAAAAAAAAGCAGGGTCTGAATGCAGTCCTGCTAAGCAATGCTACCAGTACACCTCACTTTGTTTTAGTCTTGGTTGCTGCAACCTCTCAACAACTCACGTGAAATCCTCCTAATGGAATGGAATATCATAAAAAAACAAACTGCTCAAACACTAAAAAAAGGCTGGGGAGAAGGGTGGATTTTCGTGCAATTGCAAGGATTAAGGAAATGAATAAGGCTTAGGATCCAGGCCAAATTTTCCTCACAACATTTTCTTCCTTTGAAAAATGAAAGTGAAGTTAAATTATTAAAAATCACCAAGTGAAGTGCACATTCCCAGTACCTGATACTCTGTAGATGCCTTCACACTTCATGCCATACTTCTCTACGTAATCTATACATTCACGGAAAACGGCTGGCAGCCGAATGCCATCATACATCATGGTCCTCTCTACTGCATCAGCCAAAGGAATTCCAAAAATGGGTTTGAGATTTGGAACATCAATCTGAGGCACCTCTGGCTCCTGAATTGGCTTTTTCTTTTTCTTCTTTTCCTTCCATTGTTTAACAACATCAGCTGCTGTCAAGTCTTTAGACTTCTTCTCTTTATGCTTTTCTTCTTTGTGCTTTTCTTCTTTATGCTTTTCTTCTTTGGGTTTCTCTTTTATTTTAAAATCCTTCTCCTTCTTTTTAGAAAAGCTGGGCTTCTTGAAAACATGGATTCCCTTGGACCTCTTCATTTTAGAAGGACTTTCTGCCTCATCTCCAGAGCTATCTTCCTGAAAGGCTGCATAGCCTTCAGCTGCCAAAGGAATGAAGACAGTATATGTTTGTTTAATGTCAGACTGTCCATATGCTTTCTAAAAACAGAACCAAAAAACGGTGCCACCTGGCACCAGCTATCTAGTTTTTCACTTCTTGGCCAATTCCTCCTGGGCACTCCCAGCAAAGAAATGGGTTTCCTCTCAGTGAAAAAGAGATGTTGCAGTGACATCTCTTGACCACAAGAGGGCGACAAATAAACAGCAGTTATCATCCTTATAGTATTAGGAGGGGAAACAGGTTTTAAATTATATATGTGTATAAGTGAAATTCAGGCAAACCAAATATAAGATACACCTGAAAGGCTCTACATAGAGGGCTAATGGAATGAATTCTTCTCTAAAATAGAGTGAGCATCCTTTCATCATGTGAATCATATCTTCTAACATACTACAGGTTGAGTATCCCTTATCTGAAATACTTGAGGCCAGAAGTGTTTCAAATTCTGGATATTTGCCTTATACTAGTTTAGCATCCCTGGTCCAAAAATTTGAAATCCCTAATGCTCCAATGAGCATTTCCTCCAAGCGTTATGCCAGTGCTCACAAAGTTTCAGATTTTTAGCATTTTGGATTTTCAGACTAGGGATACTCAACCTGTGTTCACTTTAACCAGCCTAACTTTTCCAACTAAGTGGTGCCTATAACTTTAGGCAATCTCAAAGCATGAAAAACTGCACTACTGTTTATGTGCTTCAGTTATTCCCCTATCACACTTCACTCTGCTGTCACCAGCTGCTAAATTCTTTATGGAGACTGCAGCAGGAACTACAGCCTCATTTGAGTAGAGGATTAAACTGGGAAATTCCCTCATATTTAGATGGTGGCCAAATCCACTGGGCGCACTTCCCTGCATCAGAAAGCTCTGGTTTTCACACACTGACAGATGTGCTCAATTGCTTTACCAACCATGTCAGAGTTGTCATAGTTTGGTTTTGTTGTTTTAAAATATCTGTAACTCTCCTATATCTTTTCCTTAACTACCTTGCAAGCTATTATATAAAAGATAACACCTATTTCCTAAGTTACGCTCTAACTATAATACCATGTACTCCACACCAACCAGAATGGCAAAAATCTTAGGGACAAAATACCATGATGCTTTAGCAAGTGGAATGTTCATACATTGCTGGTGAGAAGGTAAACTTGTACAACCACTCTGGAAGATTGTTTTATAGGGATCTACTGAAGCTGAAATACACATGGCCTATAAATAAACAATTCCACTCCCAGGCATACACATAACAGAAATACAAAAACATGTATACCACAGAAGCACTACTCATAACAGTCAAAAACTGAAAACCATTCAAACAAGCAACAACAGAATAGATTAATGAACTCTAGCATGTAATGCAATGAAAGATTATCTAGTGTAAAGATGAACAAATTACTGCCACATGGAATAACATGAATGAATCTAACAAACATGTTAAATGAAGTTAAAGCTGCTTTCTTACATATTTTAAGTTTGGCCTAAAGGTTTCTCCATACATAGTGAACTGTAACCTAACTGGATGTATAAACAGACTGTAATCTACTCTTGTACCATTCACAGAGTTTCAGCCAACCCCGAGGCGGGGGGGGTGGGCAACTGTTCAAACTGCTCAAATAAGGCAAATGCCCATAACCAATTCAGTTGTTTCTGTATCTCACTTATGTTTTCTGTAAGTCACTTTACATTTCTGTTCATAAATACTAAGTGCCCATGTGGCAGTCCCAGAGCCGCTCTAAGCTGATTCTGGTTTGGGGGCTATTGGATTCCCTAATCATTCTTTGCTCAATTAAACTCTGTTAACTGGCCAGGTGGGGTGGCTCACACCTGTAATCCCATGACTTTGGGAGGCTGAGGTGGGCAGATCACCTGAGGTCAGGAGTTCAAGACCAGCCTGGCCAATAAGGTGAAACCTGTCTGTACTAAAAATACAAAAATTAGCCAGGCATGGTGGTGTGTGCCTGATCCCAGCTACTTGGAAGGCTGAGGCAGAAGAACCACTTGAGCCTGGAGGCAGAGGTTGCAGTGAGCTAAGATCGTACCACTGCACTCCAGCCTGAGCAAGATTCAGTCTAATATTGGGCAAAAGAAACTAGACACAAATAGAAGTATGCGTAAGTTTAAAGTCAGGCAGCATCAATCAACAATGAAAGAAGTTTACTTATGGGAGGGGTGGGTGATTCCCTTTAAAGAGGCCGCAAAAGAAAATTGATAATGCTCTATTTCCAGATCCTTGTAGTCACATCCACTCATCCAGTTGTATATAATTTGTGCACTCTGTGTAATCCTTCAAAAACAAATCAATTTAAAATATCATGAAGTCCAAAATAAGGAATACTTAACTTAAAATAACTCACTTTATTTGCTTTTAACATACTAAAAAGACACACTTAAATGATTCATCCTTCTTACTGAATAGGACCTCAAATGAAATGTATCATGGAGTTGCTTAAGATAAATGAGTAACCACTTTATTGAAGGTTCCAATAAAGTATACCCCAAATAGCCGACATGACCTACCCAAGAAAAGTAAGATGCTTTAAGATGCTTCCAGTATCTACCTTTTTTTGAGGAGGGTTGAGTGGGGAGATGACAGGGTCTCACCCTGTCACCCAGGCTGGACTACAGTGGTGCAATCATAGCTCACTGCAGCCTCAATCTCCTAGCCTCCTAAGTAGCTGTGACTACAGGCACACACCACCATGCTAATTGTTTAAATTTTTTGTAGAGAGGGGTGTTGCTTTGTTTCTCATGCTCTCAAACTTCTGACTTCAAGCAATCCTCCCATCTCAGCCTCCCAAAGTGCAGGGATTATAGACATAAGCCACTGTGCCCACCTCAGTATCTACTTTCTAGACATTATTTTGAATTATTACTTCAGGAAATATCCACTAGAAAACCTTGCCATTTCTGGAAACTCAGTATTTTTATTTGTGAGAATAAGACCCCAAAATACAACTTTAATATACAAAAATTGAGACCCTGAAAAATAAAGAATAGGAAAATCAAACAAGAGTCTGTCTTGCCATGTTTCCAGAAGATAGGTGGTACATGTAATTAGAGTGGAAGTTTATTTAAAATATATCTAGGCCAGGCATGGTGGCTCACACCTGTAATCCCAACACTTTGGGAGGCTGAGATGGGTGGATCACTTGAGGTCAGGAGTTCAAGACCACCCTGGCCAACATGGCAAAACCCTGTCTCTACTAAAAATACAAAAATTAGCTGGGTGTGGTGGCGTACACCTGTAGTCCTAGCTACTCAGGAGGCTAAGACATGATAATCGCTTGAACCGGGAGGTGAAGGTTGCAGTGAGCTAAGATGGCACCACTGCACTCCAACCTGGGCAACAGAGCAAGACTCTGTCTCAAAAAATAATAATAAAACAAAAATATCTAAAGAATAGGAAAATAATGGTACTTACTCCTCTTTTCCTTTTTCTTAAATTTTCCTTTTTTCTTCCCATGGTCTTTCTCATCATCAGACACTATATCAGGAGGCTCATGGAGGATGTCATGGGGAGGTGAGGGCTCGCCAGTGCGGTACAATCCAGGAAACTTAGTAGGGCTGATCTCTTCAGAGCTGGGGGTCCGGGTAAGCCCACTGCCATGCTCCACCCTGCGGTGTTCACTGGGGCTGCTGGTTGGGGGTAGGAAGCACTCTGTCATGCTGATGTCCTGACTGGGAAGGAACGAGGTCTTCTCTGTTACCTATCCATTACACCTGCACCAAGAGAAAAAACATCAGCAGAGTCACCTAACACCAAGGAACAAAAACACCTCAAATATACAACACAGCATTTACAAATCAAAAATATTTTCTCCACAAATCCCTTTTAAAAATACACTTTCAATTTATTATCTTGAGATACACGCATCACATATTTCAGTTCTCAGGGTTAAAAGCATTGGGATCTTCAAGTATTCAAAAAATAAATCAAATGAAAGTCAGAGGTAGACTTCTCAAAGTAGAATATGGAATTCCTTTGAAAAAGAACTCATCATTTTCAAGTGCTCCATTTTAGCTGCTACCCAACATAAAATTTTATTATTTTGCTTTATGACTAAACAACAATAAAGTCACAAAGATGACTTTATAACTACACATGAAGTTATTATAATTTTATAATAGTTAAAATGATACACTTAATGATTCATATAATTACAGACAACTATCATTCTATGATAGATGCAATTTATATATACAGCTCATGTGCTGATAATAACTATTATATTTTATACTGCAGTTAAGCTGAAAGAAATGAAGGAATCCTCATTTAATCAATCCTAAAATACATACAAAATAGTTTTACTACAACAGATGCTACCAATAAAGAGGAATTCAAAATCTGTCTGCATTTTTTCCTTCTTTAGATGGTAAATACATAGCCAAAGCACTGCGTTTAAAAGTTACTTGGATTAATTCTTATTCCTCTTTAACGTCATTATGACATGCATTTGAAATACTGTCAGAATCACTTTTTCTCTTTGCGATCACTTAACTTTTTAAATTTTTTTTGAGATGGAGTCTCACTCTGCCATCCAGGCAGGAGTGCAGTGGTGCAATCTTGGCTCACTGCAACCTCTGCCTCCCGGGTTCATGTAATTCTCCTGCCTCAGTCTCCTGAGTAGCTGGGATTACAGGTGTGCACCACCACACCTGGCTAATTTTTGTATTTTTTAGTAGAGATGGTGTTTCACCATGTTGGCCAGGCTGGTCTCAAACTCATGACCTGAAGTGTTCTACCAGCCTCGGCCTCCCAAAGTGCTGGGATTATAAGGTGTGAGCCACCACGCTTGGCCTCTCTTTGCACTCACTTTAAAGGTTAGCTTTACAGTTTAAAAAATCCACAAGCCATAAGTGACAAATCTGACCATGAACAAAGTCAAAAGACAAGCAAATGTGGGGGAAAAAAAGTTGCAAATTGAGAGAGCTAATTTCTTTAAAAAGCAAAGAGTTCTTAACAAATTAATGAAAATAGCAACAAATTAAGAGACCCATACAAAGGATGTGAACAGGGAGTTCACAGAAAAGTGGCTAAAAAATGAGTGGAAACAATGTTCAACTCCAATGATAATTTTTTAAACAATGAGCTATCACTTTTCTAATATGAGAGTGGCAAAGAACAAAATGGCACATTTTGACTTTGCAAATTGTTCTTGTCACCAGATGAGTTCTGACATTGCTGTGCAATTGTGGGGGAGGGTAGGGGGAAAGATGAGAGGAAATATTTACTGGTCTTTTTGTTTTATACCTTCCTCAAGAGGGAACAGTCTAGCCAACTTGCTCCAGTAATGCAATAAGGACATTGCAATAAAGTTTTTTTTTTTTTTTTTTTTTTTTTTGAGATGGAGTTTCACTCTTGTTACCCAGGCTGGAGTGCAATGGCGCAATCTCGGCTCACCGCAACCTTCGCCTCCTGGGTTCAGGCAATTCTCCTGCCTCAGCCTCCTGAGTAGCTGGGATTACAGGCACGTGCCACCATGCCCAGCTAATTTTTTGTATTTTTAGTAGAGACGGGGTTTCACCCTGTTGACCAGGATGGTCTCGATCTCTTGACCTCGTGATCCACCCGCCTCAGCCTCCCAAAGTGCTGGGATTACAGGCTTGAGCCACCGCGCCCGGCCCTGCAATAAAGTTAAAAAAAAAAATCCAGTGTGATGGTAAGGATAGAGGAAACAAGACTCATGAGAACACCTACTAATGGTAAAAGTATAACACGATCCTTTTTGAAAAGCAATCTTATCATAGCTATCAAAATTGTAAATATATTATCTTTGATCCAGGAATTCTGCTTTTAGGAAATTATCCTTCAGATATACTTTCACAAGAATGCAAGAATATATTCACTGATGTATTGTAAAAACAAAAATAAAATAACCTAAAATGCTATCAATAGAATATTGATTAAATTATGGTTTAGCGAAAAAAGCTGTAAAGTCACACACAAAGTTTCTGAAAACATATAAGAAACAGTTAATTACTGTTAACTCCTGGAAGCATTAGAAGGGTAGACTTTATTCTTTCCATTGTATCCTTTCTATATAGTTTGAACCTTGGCATGTCTATATATTATCACTTAAAAAAGATAAAAGGGGCCTGGTGTGGTGGCTCATGCCTGTAATCCCAGCACTCTTGGAGGCCAAGGTGGGTGGATCACTCGAGCCTAGGAGTCTGACACCAGCCTGAGCAACACAGTGAAACCTCATTTCTTAAAAAACAAAAACAAAAACAAAAAATTAGCTGGGTACGGTGGTACATGTCTGTAGTCCCAGCTATTTGGGAGGCTGAGGTGGGAGGATCACTTGAGTTCAGATGATGGAGGTTAAAGTGAGCTGAAATCACACCACTGCACTCCAGCCTGGGTGGCAGAGTGAGACCCTATCTCAAAAAAAAAAAAAAAAAAAAAAAAAAAAAAAAAAAAAAAAAAAAAAAAAAAGGAGCAGGATATTTCTGATCCTGTAAAAATTATGCAGTATTAAAAACCATGTTTTTGACAGTATTTAATGGTGTGAGGAAAAAGCAATTTTATTTATAGCATATCAATTTAAATATATAAATATATGCATAAAGTAACAGATTAATAATTACCTCTGAATAAGATTATAAGTGATCTAATTTTTTTATTTTTCTGCATTTTATACATTTTCTACCCAATACACATTATTGCTTGTATAATCAGAAAAAAAAAAAACATTAAAAATGAAAAAAAAGTTTCATTGAAGGATCAATAAGCATCACTATAATTGTTTTTCTTAATGAGCCCTGACTTTTGGCAACTGTTTGTATGTTTTGTTTGCTTGTTTGTTTGCTTGAGATGGAGTTTCACTCTTGCTGCCCAGGCTGGAACGCAATGGCACCATCTCGGCTCACTACAACTTCCACCTCCCAGGTTCAAGCAATTCTCCTGCCTCAGCCTCCTGAGTAGCTGGGATTACAGCCCCCCCGACCCCCCACCCCCGCCGCAACATGTCCAGCTAACTTTTTTGTAAAGATGGGGTTTCACCATATTGGTCAGGCTGTTCTCGAACTCCTGACCTCAGGTTTCACCATACTGGTCAGGCTGTTCTCAAACTTCTGACTTCAGGTGACCTTGGGTAGCTGGGATTACAGGCATGAGCCACCATGCCCAGCTTTGGCTATCGTTTTTTAAAGTGCATTCTCTTTCCCCACTAATTGAAGTTTTGACAACCTAAGAGTGGAGAGTTTAAGGGGACCTAGAGCTCAACAACAGAGGTGAGGAAACTGAGCTCAAGTCCATGGAAGCTAAAACATAACTTGTGGGACAGAAGCACCACTTTACACTCCAGAAATAAAATTGCCTATAGACATATCACCCACACCGATACCATGTTATTGTATGCTTCTCTGTCTTTGCTCATTCTCTCCCAGGAATCCAGCTTTCCTCTCAATATTTTTAGGTGGCTAATTCATACCCATCCTTTAACACCAGGCCTACAACTGGGCATGATTTTGTAAATGATGGAAACATCCTAACTTTGGATTATGGTGACGGTTGCAGAAACCCATAAACTGGCTAAAAATCATTACATTATACACTTCGAGTGGGTGGATCTTATGAGTTCTACCTCAATAAAGCTGTTTAAAAAAAAATTAAGCACCAGCAACATTTCTCAAAGAATCCTCACTGGTGACCGACCCCATCCACTGCCACAAATGCTCCTTTTCTATGTCCTAGAAAATTCTGAACACACCACTTCACAGTGCTTACCATACTGTATTTTAACTATATATGCATGTGTTCGCCTTGCTAATGGTGAGCTCCAACATTTAACACTACCTATGGCACAAAGTAAGTACTCAAATGTTTATTTAATAAACAAATTGGTATCTTTTCTGTTCCCAACATATTTACTGTTGATGAGACAAAGATTAGAAGAAATGAACCTTGCCTTGAGCCTTAAATTCTAATTCAGGAAACAAAGAAAGGGAATCCACATTTTATTTGAGTTCCTGTGGCTTCTAGAACTTTCACATACATTAATTTAGCTAACCCTGTGGGAAAAGCAATATTTTTCCATGTTTACAAACAAAGAAAGTACGGAGAACTTAAATAACTTACCCTAAATTACATAGCAAGTAAGAGGTAAAACTGGGATCTGTTTGACTCAAAACACTTTTTTTTTTTTCCACTGAACCACCTTTCATCTATACACACACAAAAGGGAATAAATACATTTATGTCAGGAGGAACAGTGTGGTTAAAGATACAGAGTAACATTTGGTACTTACTATGAGAATGGGGAGAAGACCAGCCTGACCCAGGGAGTTCTTGCTAAGGAAGAATGGAAAAGACATTAAAAGACAAAGTGGGCTTGGACAACTGAATGCCACGCTGAAGAGTTCAGACTTAGTGTGGGAGTCATCACCAATTCCAAAGCCAGAAAGTGACAAAACTGGGGCTAAGAGAGGAGTAAGGGCAGGAATACCAGCAGCAAAATGTGAGACAGCTTTTGATCATTCACTCCTACAACATTTATAAGTTATACCTATGTTTCCATGTTCTCCTGGTTCACAATTATTTTTGTTTCCATACTAGACTGATAATGACAAGAAGACAGTTTTGTTCATAAAGTATTTAATAGATTATCTCACAAAAGCTACTCTGAAGAAATATTTGTTGACTTGTGCTATGGACTGAACGTGTCCCCTCAAAATTCATATATTGAAACTTAATCCCCAAGGTGATGGTATTAGGAGGG